ACTGTGTTTGTAGAACTGTAGGTAAAGGTTTTTCTGCTCTACCTGTTCTCAGCCAGTTAGGTTGAAAGCAAAAGATTAGAAACTACTTTCTGGCTTATCTTCTGCATTATAAATTCTGTTCGATTCTTGCTCTTTTTATTTTAACCTCAATTCTATCTCATTCTCAGATGCACTGTGATTTAAGTTCTTTTAGAAACCTTCCATTACAGTTATCTTTCTTTTTTTTTTATCATTTTAAATTCATTCTTGTTCTTATAATATATGCTATTTCCCCACCTAGAACTTTCAAAGAATACCCTCTGATATCGTAATGCTTTTTATTTTTTATTACTTTTAATGCTTTTCCCCCTATTATAACTTTCTCTCAATTTTTCAGCACATCCCGTGAAAGGTAGAAAATTTATATCCCCATAAACTCTCTTAATTCTCCAGAGTTATTTTGCTGACTGACACCTTCCTCCTAATTGAAGAGCTAATGTATAGATCAAATAACAGTGGGAATGGTGAAGAGATTGCAGCTCAGTGATAAAGAACAGGATTTTGAGTGTCAATCGACTTGGATTTGAATCCCAGCTCCATCTTTTTTTAGTGATGAGACCGTATGCCATCTAGGTAGCCCTTTTGTGCCTCAGTGTCTCAACTTGTGCATGTAGATAATAGTAACTCACACAGCCATTTGAGGATGAAATGGCAACATGTAGCCAGAGAGCTTCTGGGTATAGGACATAGCCCAGGGACCACTCAGAAAATGGGAGTCTGTTTGGTGTTGTTATGTCTTTGATATTATCATAGTAAAACTGTTAGCGTCACGTAATGGGTAATGGATGTCCAGGTCTGTCTCCAGTGAAGTATACATTTCTTGACGCTAAAATATTTTTTCTAACAGGGGCATCTTTATTACATAAACAATTATGGGGTATATGTTCTGTGCAGGTGCCTGGGCTTGATTATTCTGGGCTGAATAACCAAGCCTCGTCCCAGCTTTCAAGGACCTTACAGTCTGGTTCCAGGCTGGCACACAAACTCAGCTATAAAGTAACAGAAAAAGTAAATGTCCTGAAAAATCCTCATAGTGCTGTGGAAAGTCAAAGAAGGCAACATCATTGATAGCCAAAGATGTTCAAAACCAAACACATTTCCCTTCGTTTCTTCAGCAAGATTTATTTCCCCTGCAGTATCCCCCATCTCCACGAATGGGTACCACTGTGTGTTGAGATCAAGCCGGGACTCTGAGAAGGAAGCTCTCCTGACCTCTCCCTCGCCTTCCCTTCTGCCACCAGTGAGGCGCAAGGCTCAGCAGGTCCTTCCTCCTCGATGTCCCTGAACCTCTCCATCTGTCTTCTCTTCCAGCGCTTGCATTCTGTGGTTATCAAATTTTTATGCCTTAGAATCTCCTTGAGCGCTTGTTAAAACTCAGATTGATGAGCCCACCCCAGAGTGTCTTCTAATTCAGTAGTTCCAGGGTAGGACCTGAGAATTTGCACTTCTAACAAGTTTTCAGTTGATGCTGATGCTGCTAGTCTGGGGAGCATCCTGAAAAGCGCTTTCTTAGTTTATGACCTCATCGTTTTCTGTCTTCCTACCTACACTTTCTGTCTATAATCTTTACTCTTCTTCACATTCTCTACCCTGACCACAGACAGGGGTAAAAATATCTTTTCTTGCTGTGGATTGCCCATAAGGTAAATGTCAGAATCCCTCATGTGACTTGTAGGGCCCTAAGTTACCTGTCTCCTACCTTCCTGTCTAGTCTTATCTACTGCCTTGCTGACCCCTTGCCTGACCTCTGGCACACAGAACTCCTGGCAGTTTTAATATCCATGTCATTTCACGTTTCCTCCTTTGCATCTGCTGTTCACTCTGTCTGCAATGCTGTGGGTCCCTTTCTTCGCTTACTAACGCTGATGGGTCCTTGCAAACCACTGAAGAATGGATCCTTGGAAAAACATTACCTCTCCACCTGCAGACAGGGGAGGTGCCTCACCTCCGTGGTTGTCGCATGTCACATGTTATCTACCTGCTAGTGCATCTCTCCCTCAAAACTGAGCTTCCTGAGAACAAGAACCAAGTCTTTTACCTCTATAGCCACAGCTCCAAGCAATATATTGCCTGATACAGAGTTAGAAATCAATGGATGTTGAATGAAGGGAGAGATCCAGGAAGGCTACTTGGAGGAAGTAGGCATTTTAGCCAGGTGCAAAGACTAGTTAGGATTTGGACATGGAGAGAGTAGAAGAAGAACATTCCAGAAGAGGAGGCTTGAGCCTGAGCTCGGGCATGGTCAGGGTTGGGCATGGTGTGAGGAAGGAACAAGGAGGGATCTCATTTGGCTAGCCTGGAGAGCAAGTCGAGGGAAATAGTAAAGGTAGAATGAATGTGACTCAGCGAGAGAATGAATGTGGAAGCTCAGGAGAGATTCACATACGGAGAGTACCGTGAACCTAAAACAGACTCTCCAGAGATGGAGGAAGCTGGAGGATAAGGGACAAAGATGGGCGAGAATCAAGAGTGCAGTTTTGGCCATGGTAGATTAAGGGATACCGTTAGGATACAGTCCCACTGTGTGGTCCTTATGTGTCTTCCCACTGACCTGATTCCTGTTTTGATCTCCAGGGCCTAGTAAGAGCTCAATAAATGCTGAATGAAGGAATAAATGAATGAATGAATGCAAGGTGATCAGAATAAAGGCTACAAGCCAAGGTAGAGAAGGAGAAGTAGCAGTCTTCCCACTGACCTGATTCCTGTTTTGATCTCCAATAAATGCTGAATGAAGGAATAAATATATGAATGAATGCAAGGTGATCAGAATAAAGGCCACAAGCCAAGGTAGAGAAGGAGAAGTAGCGTCTGTGATGACTTTAGGTAGTGATTGCCACCCATGATGCACGCATGCAGATCAGACAGACAGGCAGGCTGCCGGCGACGATGGGCGGACTAGGATGGGTGACTCAGGTGATGGGCATCAGGGGTCCAGGAGACCATTGCTTGTCACTAGAAATCGGGAAAGTCTTAGCATTTGTGAAGACAATCAAATGACATCTTGAACATAATGCTTGAAACCTGTACTTGTGGGAGTACCTAAGTAGCTTTAAGATTTGTATGAAAACTGAAATGAACTCTCTGACTTCACTGTACTAATGCAATAAACGTGAGCATTATTCTATGTTTAATGCTCACGTGAGCATTATTCTATGTTTAATGCTCACGTGAGCATTATTCTATGTACCTTTATTCTATGTTTAAAGATACATCTACAAAGAGTTAAGCGTTGTCACTGCTAATCAATTTTTCCTTGTGAAATAGACAGCTTTATGACTATTGTGACACCGTTCTCAGAATCTAACCACTACTATTCTTCCATTAAATTTAACAGGTTGACACATGTTTAGAGGATATAATATAATGTCGAATGTATGGAAGAAACGGTTTTTCTTCTGACCTGTTTTTCCAGACTTCTTGTATAATTCTAGGGGGTTTCTCATATTACTCTTATGTGTGCAGAGAAATATCTGAATAAAAATAGTTTAGAGATTAAGGCATTAAATGGTATTTATATTAAACAAATACATAGTAAAGAATTATCCACAGACACCTTTGGTTGTGCTTCCAAATCAGTAATTGTATTGATAAATCCATCGAAATTTACAATGTGACCCAACAGAAAGTTTTATTACCAAAAACAAATCCTGAGGCATGGGGGAGGGGAAGGGAGTGGAGATGTAGAGGATAAACTGTAGATAAAGAGACAGAATTCAATTTCCTTTTATGCTCAAGCTTCGGCAGACCATTATTTACCCTCGCCTGCCACTGTGACTACCAGAAACACAGGGTTAGGGAACTGCAAGTCATTTACTTTTAAAACTCAATTTCATTTCTTCTAACAATCATCGTGAGTATGAATATCTAATAAAAGGATTAGGCATTGACACCCTAGAGTAACATCTATAATGCATGTACTAGTTGGAGTTAATTCATTTAACAAATATTTGTTGAGCGTTCGAGTGTGTGTCAGCCCTGTGCTGGGAATGAGGGAACAAGGCGAACCAGGTTTTCTGTCCTGTTTCAGACAACCTGGAAGGAGTTCTCGACTCTGATTTTACTGTTGTAGCGACTGTGGTTAACACGTGAATGACCGTTTTTGTTTCCAGTTTTCAACTTGAACTATTTCATAAAATAATTGAAACGCTGCACTTCTGAGGTATCTCCAGAGTAGCAAACTTCAGTGTGCTTCTTAAAACTTCCAGTGTGTCAGTTTTGATGAAGCCCAGTAGAAGATCTAAGAGAAGCAAAGTTTAGGAAGTCGAGGAGTATAAGAATGGTTGGAATCGCTAACAGTTTTTACTAAACATTGTCTGTATCGTGACATGTTCCAGAAGACCATACACATCAGTTTATACTAACATAAACTACTTTTTGCCTTGCCGATAACTGTAAATAAATAATTCAGATGACCACCCACCCAAAACCAAGGTGTTTGGGGGAGTTTATGTGTTTCCGATGAAATCTTTGCTTTGTAAATTTTCATAATCAAAGAGAAAAATAGTGAGGTGTATCGCCCCACTTTACTCCCACTTTTAAATTCCGCGGAACCGGTTTCAAATATTTCCGTGTAGCCTGTGAATATCATCATGGCAATATAAAATAATGATTAAGCTCTCGTCTTGATTTGACTTTAATGGAGGGGATTAAAGGCATTTTCTTACTTGCATTTCTGTACAGCAGCACACTGGCTTTTCCAGTTAAAATTAATTGACCTGTCACATTGTTTTCATGGTAGCAATCAGCTAAATTAAATACGGGGCTATAAATCTGGGTAGCACTGTTTGACTTAGGAAGAAGCCTTATGTAAAGTTCATAGATGTTATGCAAAACACAGGTGTTTGGCTCTGGTCCCAGAGGTAAGAAGCGGGGATAAAAAGGAGTTGGGGAGATAACCTTTAGCTTAATACAGCTTGGAAGATTAGATCTTATATATGCTAATTTTGTACTTTTTTTAATAGATGGAACTGATTAAAAATATAAGTACTGCCGAACAGCCCTATTTATTTACGCGACACGTTCATTTTCTCAACTTCTCGAGGTAAGAGATTTTTCAGCTTCATGGTCCTTTCGTTTCTTTGTAGTGCTTAGACTCCTTCTCGTGAACAATTACTTTAAAATCTACTTTCATTTTCAAGGTAATATAATTGCCCTGGCAAAGACATTTTAAATCCTGTTATTTTTGCTGTGGAGGGATCGACATGTGAAGCATTTGGACAGAAGCTTCATTTCTTTCTAGAATATGAATCTTCAATCTTGCGAAAGGTTGAAATTATTTTTAATGAGAAGCCATTTGACCTGAGAGGTTTTTTTTTTTAAATCAGGTTTTGTATTGAAATAAATAAATGGGGAGGTTTAAAAGATGGGTATTTTAACAGAAATTATTTCATGCCACATTTTTGTACAATTTGAAGCCACATATGATGGTAGGAGTAACTTATTGGTGGAGTAATGTGTATTTTATAGGATCCAAAACGCCTCTCTGCCTACCTTTCAAAGACTCCATCTGATTATTCTAAGCCTTGCATGCCGCTGGCGCGTTTTAGAAATCTGATTTTTCTTCGGCTACAAGGACCTTCAGGTAACAAGGCTAATCTCCAAATTTTAGGTTTTTAGACCTTTGATCTGCAAAGTTGCTACTGGCATGCTCTGGGCAGTCTCTCCCCCAGGGATTAATTCACATACATTCCCTTGTCACTGCTCTGCTGTACTCTGAAGTTCTCAGACACCTCCTCTCCTCAGGCTGGCCCGTGGTCTGAGCTCACAGTGGCATCCGCTGATAGCGCACTGGATCTGGAGGCAGATCCACCTGCCAGCCGGGGACGCTGGGCCCTCGTCAACAGCACGTCCCTCACTGTTATTCCCATGGGGATATTAGGTCCACCTCAAGTCCACAGGAGAGCAGCACACTGTCCTACTCACTGGTGCTGACCTAACGGTCCCCAAGGGCTAGGCACCCAGAGAGGCCCTGAGCCGTCCCAGCTCTGCACTTGTTGGGCACAGCTGCTCTGCCACAGGATGCTCACAGCCCATAGGGTGGAAGCAGGTTTTAGCCTTCAAAGGACACCCCCTCCTGCTGTGCAGCAGGCCCTGTGCAAATGAAGTGTAAAGAAAATGAGATTCAGCAAAGCAAGTTAGTAAGCAGCAAAGAGGCGTTGCTGTCTTATCCTTGACGGCAAGCTTCCCTGAGGTTTCCCGGCCTGCCTGATAGCCAGGGTTCCCTTGGATGGTAAAAAAGGCACCTGCAAATTATCCTCAGTGGCCCAGGGCCATGGCACTGAGAGCTCCAGTGTGTTTCCAACCGCATTTATAAGGTAGCTTGTTACTGGATTGTCTGGGGTACGTGCCCTGCCTCTCACTTCCAGTAGGCAGAGAACATATAATTCAGCCTAATTGGATAATGAGGACTCGTTAGCTATTTCAGGCATTGCCTTATATATATGACTTGTAGAATGCCACACACGGCCCCTCCTACCATTCCTCTTATCGTGACCTTCCTTCTGCATCGCCCCAGGTACCCTCCAACCTCATTCATTTAATTCTTCTCCCTTCAAGGTCAAATCTTTACAACTAAAACAAACTGCAATGCCACAGATTTTAGGAACTAACTCAGGACAGTGCAAAACCTCAATGGCAAGTCAAAGCTGATGATATCAGCATTGGATCAGCCCAGCTGGGCACAGCGTGATGATCACATTTTATCATGGCCTCTGCTGTCAAATACATGTCCAAGAGCTTAATCTTGATTAACTAAATTCGGAAAGAAAAATAAAATTGGTAAACACCTTTAAAAGGCACCACATCTGCAGAAAACAGTGTGGGCCTGGCTGTTGGGACCTCTGGGTGTCAGACCTTCTCACTCACCGTGATTCTGGGCAAGCGATTTACCCCCAGGGTGTGTGGGGGCGGGGAGGGGGATGTCTCTGTTTTTCCATCTATAAAAGACGGATAATTCCTGTCCACCCTACCTTATAGGGATGTCCTAAACACATGAAGGAAAGTTCTTCAAGTTCTTGGAGCGAAGGATGTTCAATGTATTCAAAGCGGCCTTTCAAAGGCATTTCTGTAGATGTCTCAAATCTGAGCCCACAGTTTGCCTTCTGCCCGTCTGTAGCCTCCCGGTGTCCCCATCTAATGCCTTGAGGGCAGGGCCCTGCTCCGCTGGTGTGGCCTCCCTCCCTTCCGTTGTGTTCAATTAAATGCATGCTTATCGAGGACCCTCTGTTTTCTATACAACGAGCTAGGAATGGGGCTTCTGCCCGAACGGTAAATGTTCCCCTCGCCTTTGGAGAACTGTAAGCTCTTCCTCCGTTAAGGAAGAAGTGGCAACCAAGTGTAATGAACTTAACAAAGAGTCACAGGGTCTCCCTGAGAGGAAATGGGAGGCAGGACCCTCCCTCCCCAGAGGAGGGAGCCTGGAAGGAGCCTTTGCTGCTGGGATGTGAGGGGCGGGTCAGCTTTAGACAGATTGGAGGGGAAAGGCATTGGTGGCAAGGGACCAGCATGAGCAAAAGCTGGACTAACAGAGGGACCAAGAGGAATTCCCTAAATAAGAGCTAGAGGGTGGGCGCAAGTGGAATGAGGTGGCTGCCAGGAGTTTAAGCAGGAAAAAGGAGAGACTGACCTGATCAGCTTTGCTCCTTTGAAAAGCTCGTGTTAATTGTGAGAACACCCCTCCCCCCTCTTCTCGCCCCACGCTGAGCGCCTGGGGAGGCAGGTACCAGTTACAAGGGCGGAAGGACAAACTGAACTTTTATACATTACCAGACAATGTTATACTCACAGAACATAGAAAATTAAAAATCACCTTTTTCTTCTTCAAGGGAATAGCTTTATTTAAGGAACATTTCTTAGGTCTAAAGGCAGACTGTGGGCATACAAAGAAAGCCCCAAAATATACGATTTGAGAAAAACAATTAAGCTGAGACTTGTTAAGAAGGCTTCACGTATGTTAAAAATAAGCTCTATATTTTGAATTATAAGTCACGGAGATAATTAAGCTGCTCTTAAGAAGACCCTGACAGGCATATGGTTGCTTCGTTTCAAGATGATGAAATTATTAACACAAGAATTGATACTGCAACCTAATATTCTTTGTTGACGTTTTATTTCTAATCTTCCTTGCATTCTTAGCACGCAGCAAGATACATGCCAGTGAGCAGAATATAAGAATGCCAGTCTAGCCTCTCTCCCCACACCTTCTTTTGTACCTAAATGTTCTGAGCTTCTGACATGTATGGCATTATACCAAAAATGAATTGCCCCTTACTTCTTTTTTTTCAATTAATATGTCATTCTTACCTTAAAAGTTAGATACTCTGAGTGATGCCAAATGCTATCCTCTAAGCTTCTGGCTATTCAATAGCTGACTTCATTATTTCATTTATTCATCATCTAGGCATCTTGCTCTGTTCCTCCTTTTTCCTTTCTTTAGAGCCAGAAAGAATCGTTTCTCCATATCCAGTTTTATTCATCAACCATGGAAACCAAGAGTATCAGACCAATCTGATGTTTTTGTAGTTACTGTGGGGAAGGTTTCTGGCCAGAGGAGATAAACTACAAACGCAGAAATTTCAGACTTCGGTATGGATAGTGTTCTTTCACACCATTTTCGAACTGCCTTAAAATTTAGGCCAGATAAATGTTTTTCACCAGGACTAGCTGGAAAATTCAGTCAAAATTACCTCGGCCGAAAAGATGCAACTCTTTCCTGTGATGTTCAAGTCGTTTTAATATTTGCATGTGAAGGTTTCATGCCTCGGTTCCCAGTTGTCAAAGTGACTTAAAGAATTACAATTCTTGAAAAAGTTCACCTTCCCAACAACAACACCATCTAAAAGAGTGTGATGGACAATTCAATTTGTCTCTCCTCTGCCCTTGCTTTTTGGGTGTTTGTTTTCTAAGCGTCTTTTGGGAGGGGGCAGTAATTTTTTTTCCGATCTGTAATTTGCCTCAGTCCCCAACTTGGTCTCAGAGAGAAAACATTGTGAAGTTTTGTGTCAGAGCTCAATGCTTTCAAAATAGTCCAAGCGACTTGCAGGAGATCATGGACAATTCAATTTGTCTCTCCTCTGCCCTTGCTTTTTGGGTGTTTGTTTTCTAAGCGTCTTTTGGGAGGGGGCAGTAATTTTTTTTCCGATCTGTAATTTGCCTCAGTCCCCAACTTGGTCTCAGAGAGAAAACATTGTGAAGTTTTGTGTCAGAGCTCAATGCTTTCAAAATAGTCCAAGCGACTTGCAGGAGATCGATACGCTAAATAAGTTCAGACTGTCACCTCTCTTAACCTTTCTCATGTCATTCTTCCTTACTCGCCCGTGACCCCCTCACCTCCTGACCCTCCTTAGCTTCCATTTGTATTTCCTCTTTTATCTCAGATGGTTGCTCCAATGCCAACACTGACTTGCAAAAACAAAACATTTAAAAATAAATCAATCGCTAGAGAAGCAGGCAGGGTCCCATGTGCAAGGGGAGGTGTTGTGGACACTTTCTTTCCTGAAAAGGAAGTCGTCTTCATTGAGGTGAACAAAGTCTGCCCTCTGATGGCATAATTTAACAAAACAGATCAGACCTTGCTAACTCCATGATTTAGTTGGGTTTCCACATCGTACTTCTAAATGTTGACTTTGTTTTTATTCTCATGAGCAAAATGATCCCTTTTAACTCTGTGCCCTGCAGATCCTTTGTAGTGGTGACAGGGCACCAAACTTTGAAGAGAGCACCAAAATAAAAATTGATATTAGCGATAATTAAACTTTCTTTACCCACTTCGACAGAGCCCAGAGCTTTGATTCGAAAATGAGAGATTTCTCTCATTTTATCCTATTTACACACACAGCTGGACTTTTCCTAAAATGCTGCTTTCTTTCTCACATTTCTCTTTTCACTGTACAGTGAGTGGACCTCTGCTGCTACATGAGCCTACACGCTTTATTGGCCGGTCAAGGGTTAGCTGATCTCACCTCCTCCCTGCATGCCAGGAAGGACCTTCCTCCTTGTCATCGACTTACTTCCTGCCATAGCAAGTCATCTTTCTCTCCAAGCAGGAACCTTAACTGCAGTAGCTCAACCAGCCACCCTTCCTGCTTAGTAACTGCTCCTACCCTGAGGACATGCCAGAGGGCAGAGAGCAGCTCAGTTTCTTCTACCTGATTTTTGTGATGGGAGGCCTATCCTGGGCAGCCAAGGGCGGACGTGTCCACTGTACAGGATTGTGAGGATGGAAGGCAGATCTCCCACCCCACTGCTGGCCCATTCCTGGGATTAGCTTCCAGCAGAGAGCCATTAAATAATCACCTCCTCCGTCCTCCTCCTGCAGGCGGCTCCTCACCCTGCCCCCCAAACAGTCATATCCTTTGTTATGGTGGCCTTTCTCTCACTTCTCAAAGCATCTCCTTCCTCCCTGACAGGAATCAAAGCTGTGGGCCTCTCGCTTTGGGGTACTTTTCATCTTTTAATGTAGTTAACAGTATAAGGATAACCTCTACTCTCAAGCTAGAGGTTAAAAAGAAGATACACTTTGAGTAGAATGGTGGTTACCAGGGCCTTAGAGGAGGGAGCGAAAGGGATTTATTGTTTGTTGGGTACAGACTTTCCATTAGGGATGATGCAAACGTTCTCGAGATGGATCGTGGTGATGGTCGCACAATACTGTGAATGCACTTGATGCCACTGATTTCGTAGCCCTGAAAATGGTGAGAAGGATAAATTTTATGTCATGTGCATTTCACCACAATTTTTTTAAAAAAGAAGATATACTCTCAAGAATGGTTTTCAGTCATAGAAAACTCTGAAACAAAACAGTCTTAATTCTCCAGAATAATTCTGGTCTTAAGTCTTATTATTTAATACATGCAAGAAGATTCCAGGATATCTTTAGCATTTTGAGGCTAAAATTCTTACCCAAGTGCTTTGTGTAGTTATTGGCAATGTGACTAATGCTGTTGACGATTGATCGACTGAAGCCGCAGTGTGGGACAGATGTTCAAGAAAATGCCCAGAATGAGATATGAATGCATTAGAAAAATGAGAACCATTCAGTTATTCCCAAAGAATTCTATGTTGCTTTGGATTTTCATCTTCTCATTTAAAAAAAATTAAATAAAAAGAATTTTACAAATTTGCGGTGGGTCAGGTGATCCGTGGGGAGTTAAACAGTTGGTAAATATGGACAAATAAAGGTCAAAGAAATTGCAAATACCTTTTATTTTAAAATGACTTAAAAGAGAACTTCAAACATGCAGTAGTTATTGCGGCACCCAAGAGACAGAGGGTGTGTCGTTAAATAAAAAACAAAATATGGCCTGACTCCTCTATTCTGATGTATGCACAGGACAGAACCTGTCATCTTCTGTACTTGCCCCAATTTTTTAGGGCTCAATAAAGACCAGATTAGAGCTACAGATTATAAATTGAAGGGAAATAAGTCTCAAGACAAACGCTATTGGAATTTTAAAAAGAAACACACAAAAAAAGTTAAAGGAATTACAGTTGAAGCCAAAAAGGCTAAAAGTGGTCAAAGAACATGAACAGAAGCTAATCCTTTGCGAGCAGTGGATCAAACAAAAGGCAATGTGTGTACGAGGGAGATTAGGAGTCTCGCTGAGTGTAACAGACTCCTTAACTGTCGGGTTGACCCACAAGATGGACTTCACAGGGAAGCTGTGGAATCTTCCCCCAGGTTGGGTTTTAACACTAAGACGGAGTGTTTTCCTATGTGGGATGGGGTGGGGGATAGAAAGCATTCTCATTCTAGAATGTAAACAGCAGTAGGCAGTAGGTCAAGATGACCCAGAGACCTTCTTAAGGGTGACCTGGAATTCTGACCAGAATTTAAAAATTACTGAGAGAATGGAATGAGGATGAGAAGTTTGTCACCCTCCTCTGGCACTGGGACACAGTGGTATTCTGGCCTCTTTTGTGTAACTGACCTGCCACCTCTGATTTTGGTAGTTTGGGAGGGAACTGTGTATTCTAAAAAAAGGATGAGGACTGGCAGGCTAAAATTATTATCACTGTTGCTTTCTGGAAAGGGGGAGATATATATCAGACACCTCTCGCACAGAAATTTCTGGAGAGAGGCTATTATATCATCTAATACACAATAAATCCTTAAACAGTCTAAAACTTCTGTTTCAGAAAATTATTCTAGAATTCTTGCATTGGGTTACAGTATGCAAACAGGAGCAAGTCACCTGTGCTCAATAAGCCGTGGCAATCCTGATGTCTCTAGTCTTCAAGGGAAGATGGTTATGACGCAGCCGAGAACTATCTCATAATGGGAAGCCGTGATTGAGTCGCATGATCGGACAGGTCTGCTCATTAGCAGTAATAGTCATTCTTCACATGACATAGAAGTTGAGGTTTTTAGAAACACGATGCAATTTCTGAGGGCTTAATTGCATTCACATCTAGTGTCCAGGCTTTGTCTTCCTCATCCCTAGCATTATTGTTTAGTTGCTATTATAGATATGAAACACAATTTCATTTAAAAGAGGAAGATACATGGAGGATGATGGTGGTTGACACAGCTGACTCCTGGGACCAGTCAGTTGTTCATTGAGTTGCACGAATGTCACCTTGTGTGCCTCTGGGAACTGACGAGATCCATATTGGCACAGCTAACCTTACTCGTGAGCAATGTGGTTTCCAGTGTGGTGTATTTGAGGTTCCAGAATCTCATTCACAGGTCCCGGGGCCTGAAATTCCACCACTAGAGAGTCATTCTTTTTTGTTCCTGGGGTCTCTTCTCTCTGAAGAGTCTCTTTAAAACTGCAGATAAGCTGAGGATAACATTGTACGAATTAATGCACAAGGAAGGATTGGTGGCTGGATGTTAGCCTTCCTCTGACAAAGGATCCCTGTGATAATGGCAGAAGCCTACACCCAAGCATTCACGTGTTCATTGGTTGAACATTTACTGTGTGCCATGCACTGTGCTCAACGACTTTTTTCCTGGCTCCAGGAGCCCCACAGTCCGCTGGGAAAGGCAGAGGTACACACAGTGCTGAAGGGAGGGCTCAGAGCCAGAGAACAGAGGGACTGACTCTAGGATGGAGTTCTTGCCGGAGGATATATCTGTGATTCTGGGTGGGGTCTGCCAGCTGGAAAGAGGTGGGAACAAGGTTCCATCAGTTTGTTTTCTCTGAGCTTTTTCTGACCCCTGACGGAGTGTCCAGGCATCCTCATCAGAAGGTCACAGGGTCACAGAGGAAAGAAGCCTACAGGACCCTCAGGAGGTCCCCAGAGCAAGACCTCTGTCCAGAGTCTGGAGTAGTCTCCCAGGCTCCTCAAGGGCACTGCTTTTAGGCAATTCAAAGAGAAAAAGGAGGGATCCTTAAGAGAAATGCAGCCAACCTAGTCTTGGGACAGCCTTACTCTTGGGCCAGCATTCAGCATGTTTGTCTAATCCCTTTGTGAAAGAGATTAAAATGGAACACCTAGATATTTGTTGTGTTTTCATCTACAACCACTTGCCACCCCTCAAGGGTCACTCCATTGATTTTTGTTATCCTCGATTCCTCACATTTTTACTGGAATCTTCTTTCCATGGTTCAGAGCACAGATTCTGGAACTAGAACACCTGGATTCATATCCTGGCCTAGTCACAAATGACTCACCCTCTCCTTACCTCAGTTTCTCCAGGTGTAAATAGGGTAATTATGATTTCTATTCTACTGAAGTGTCGTGATGCTTCTTTGAGTTGGACACATAAAGTATTTACAGTAAGGTTAACAGTGAGTGTTTAAGAAATGTTGGCTACTATTAATCCCCTTACTGCAGAGCACCTTCCCAGAAACTGCCAAAATTAGAAGGTAGGATAAGTCCTGTTTCACCCAGAAGGCAATCGGAATTCACCGGTCAGTTGAAACAGTCACTGGGGGCCAACCAGGTGCCAGTAAGTCTGTGCCAGGCCCTGGGACTACAAAATCCAATGGAACCTGGCCCGCCCTCAAGAACCTACAGCCTCGTGAGAAAACAAGACAACATCTACCTTCACGTTGACAAAAGCTGTCATTTGTATACTGTACTTCGAAACAGTCCTCACAGCCTCTCAACAGGACCCTGGACAGGCTCGCTCTGCATCATAATAAAATGCCTGTCAGGAAACACTGCTTGCTGCTTGTTCACTGGTACCTTAGCAGATGGCGTCAACTGATGATAATATGCTAACATAGAGGGAAACTAAGTGGACTTTATTTCCCTCCAGAAGTGATGGGTTGTAACCAGCTCCGTGTTTGTGTGCTTGTGTTAGGTTCGGAGGAGACCAGCCTGTCTATATCAACATCATTAGAGACCCCGTCAACCGGTTTTTATCTAACTACTTTTTCCGTCGCTTCGGAGACTGGAGAGGGGAACAGAATCACATGATCCGCACCCCCAGCATGAGGCAGGAGGAGCGCTACCTGGTAAGTCTTGAGAGATGGTCCCTCCCCTGCCCTGGGAGCAGCTCTTCAGGGCTGGGAAGCTCCCTCTCCCCTCCTGTGGCATTTCTGTGGCATTTCTGTGGCATTCCCTGGCACCTCCACAGAGCCCCATGTGGTGAGGACACTTCCTCAGGGAGGAAGTTTCGGCCAGTGAAAAATTGTTCCAGGTGACCCAGAGCCTACTGGACATTTTATCAAATGACTTTCCACTCTCGTTTTCCTCGGTTTGTCTTTAGTGCCAGAGTATAGAAGAAAATATTCTTTCCTAGGGAATCCTGACCGTCACTGTTGTTCGGATGTGTCTGGGGATCTCTCTCGAAGGCTCACAAAGTGTGTTCTCACACCTCATCGCCTTCGATTCCCATAGCGATCCTAGGAGGTAGCGCTATCTTCAGGGAAAGACTCTGTGATTCCAAAAGAACATGGGACTTGCCAAAGTCACGCCCCCGATCAGGGGCATGACTGTGACTGACTGAGTCTGGGTCCACTTGACTACAAGTCCAAGGTTCTTTCCACAACAGAATCGGGCCATCTTGGCAAAACATGCTTGCTTTCTCGGCACCTTGTTTTGGGACCCTCAGCTCTATGGGGATGTTGGTTTTGACTTTAGTCAATGTCTCCAAGGAGCAGCATTGATTTAAAAAATAATAAATAAGAGCAGAGTTATGCATCTTTCTGCCAGCACCAGAATTCAAGGGACATTTCTCACTTCTTCGTGACCTAGATTGACAACAGCTTACTGAATGGCTGAGAGCCTGGTGTTAAGGAGGTTGAAATCCTGGTGTCTGTGTGAGAGAGCCCGCTGCGGGCATGCAGACCCACCCTGGAATGTCAGGCACAAAAAGGCAGAGAAGAAAGCACAGAGAGATCAGTGTAAATCTAATCCCACTGCTGGAAAATAACACAGAGCCTTCACCTGCGGCTGATGGGGCTACAGCCGCATCCTTGTAGCTAAAGAAAAGTACCATTAGTCACAATTCTAGTACAGCGCCCAGACTTCCGTTTCCTTGTGTAATTTTTTAAAAGTATGCATGTGGAGGATGAGAGTACTTTCGGATGATGTAGAGAAATGAAGTGTCTTAGTCAGTGCTGTACAACAAGTTTGTAGCTGAGCCAAGACCAGGAACCAATGACTGTCACTCACCACTCAGTATTGGTTCAACTACCTAATGTTTCAATGAAATATTTCGATGGTATATTTGAAAAGTGGTTTTTAATTTTTATGGCAAAAACCCTAATCTTTTTCTTTAAACTACATGTTATGAATATGGCTATGTATTTTCTATTCAGTGACAAGTATATATTCAAAGTAGAGAGCCACTTGCTAGAGAAATAATGTTGACTCAGATTATAGTTTTCATTGGATCTTGACTAGCATTTATAGTATCTTTTAAAAACATATAGCATACTCCATTCAATCAAAATATATTTCAAGTTTCTGACTCAATCCTGATACTAAGAAAGTTAGACCCAAGTTTTAGCAGAAGAGGCTGGAAAACCCAAGATATGGAATTGAGTGTAATATGGAGATCCTGCTCTTCAGATATTAATGTAGGTAGTAAGTAAATTTACAGTCTACCAGAAGGTGAAAAGCAATTTGGAAAAGCGAGAAAGGAGAAGAATAGTCCAGGGGCCCTACAATGCCTGAAGTGGGGGAGAGGCTGTTGATAAGGCAGACAGGGAAGTCACAGAGGATGGGGCATTTGAGCAACTAGTAGGATGAAAGATCGTCAAGTGGGGAACATAGCTCCAAGTGGAGGGGGCAGCTGGAGCAAAGCCCGGTAGTGGGTGCCTATGTGGCTCACTCACAGACCAGCTGGGAGGACATTGTGGCTGGTTATCGAGTGAGGAACTGAACTTAGAGACCTAATGGTTGGAGGCAACAGATCATATAAGGCCCTGGGAGTCACTGCAGTTACTCTAAGTGAATTGGCAAGGAACATGAATGACCCTAAATTGAACGCATTTTAATCAGTGATTATTTCTCCTAAATCTTCACTAGAAAGTTGAACCCGTCACATCAGGAAATGCGTCACCCCAATCATCCTCAGCAATTCTCCCCCGTCTTTCTGGGAGTCAGGACTCCTCCCTGCTGCTCTAGACCTGTGTATCTCACTGACCCCGATTGGTTGTCCTGGAAGTCTCACAAGGCCTCTCCCACTCAAAATATAGAAAGTGTAATTTGTGAGATGGCGACCCCAGCGTTGTGCAGTGTGCAACTTACACAGCTGTACGTGGAGGTCCTGATGTTCTTCCTCTGTGCTGCCACCAGGTTCTGTGCTGGCTATGTCGTTTCTCTGGGTGATGTAATGTCTTCACTTCTCTCCTCTTAACAACATCTAAGCTCTTTAAGGACAAAATAGGATCAGATATGTCCCTGGTACCCAGATGAGGGGCTGAAATACTGGAGACCTCAAAAACACTCTATTTAGTAAATAAAATCAACAACAACAACAACAACAACAATATTAATATTGGAGTTGAGGGGAATTCTCTAGGTTTTTCTCCTTGGTCAATTTTGCCATCCTGTAAATCACTCCGCACACCAAAGTCTTCACACATTCACACACACAAGAAGTTGTCATCGTTAGCCAGAGAAGTTGTACACATTAAGAAGAAAAAAAATCACAGTTCAGATTCTTTTTAAGCCTATAGAATGTTGAAAGTTGGTAGCGGAGGCAAATCTTTTATTTTTGAAGAAGATCTGGTGGCTGCCTTTCTGGTGTGATTTGAAAGATTCCAGGGAATGTTTTCCACTTGGAATTCTACCCTTACAGATTTGCTGGGTGCTCTTCCCAAACACAGGCACCATGTCTGGGAAGGGCCTGTGTCAGACGAGTTCATCAGGTCATTCCTTGGCAAGGCCTCGACAGGATAGCAGCAGGCTCCCCAGAGCAGCAGAGGGAGAAATCAGGGAGCACGGAGTGGAGGGGGAGATGGGGGCCACGTGACTCCTGTATGATCTGGCCCCAGCCTGACCCAGTGAGGAAGCCGTTTTCCTGTTCAAAGGATAGTTTGTTTATTTGGAAAAAGACATTCTATTGCCTTTATCTTTTTTAATAGTTGAAACTTTTTATTTCATCTCCTTGGTCTCATTAGACCCTTGAAATAAAACTGCCCCCTTTCAGAGCCTGTCCTCATTTTGGCAAGCCTGGGTGGTCAGTTGTTTGACTCAAAAGAAGGTGTTGTTTGTGTCTTCGTAGGGTGCAGGGCAGCTGTGAGGAGACCACTGTCCCCTCAGTGAGGCCCTGCCTGGGGGCGAGGGCCTGAGAGGCAATGCGCAGGGTGTCCCTGTGCCTCGGGAGGCAGGCACGGCAGGCCACCCCGTCGCGAGACCGAGCAAGGAAGCCTTTCCCTGCACACTGCACGCAGGGTCACGGGGGCTGGTCTGAAATGGGTCTACTGACGAACCCACATTATTCTGGATCTCGGAGCTCCGAAGCCACTTTCTTTATCCAGTTGCCAAAAATCAGGCAGTTCTGGCCCTGAGCCTTGCAGAGCTGCTTAGCATACAGCTGAGTGAGGACAAGGGCCTTTGGGCTTGCTCTGGGGGCGACATAATATCATCTTGTGATACTGCGTGGTTTGAGAGAACATGGAAAAGGGTAAAGAGATTGGAGGATTTGCAGGGTCCCTGGAGGTCGTGAGGACACTCATTTTACAGGTGTAGGGGTGGCATCAGGGCCCCACCAGGAGCGGAAGCCAGGCCTTCTGACTCTACAACTCTGTTGTTTCATTACTTGGACTTTAGATTTCACTTCCTGAATGGTAAAGGGCGAAGAGGACCGGGCCCAGTTGCGTGTTTTTTTGAGCAAAATCATTTTGTCTGACGTCGTCCGTACATCTTTATGTGGACATAGCTGTTGCAACAACTTTTTTTTTTTTCAAATATTCAAGCATCTTAGAGCTATTCCCCATATTTTCTGGAAACTGATTTTCTAAAAGCCTCCATTTCTTTCCAAACCATTCTTCATTTGTATTTACCAGAAAAGAATCTTAAAATGAATTATTGCTAGGACAGATGCAGATTCTACATACAGCGGCCACCCTGTGAAAGGCAATCCTCTTACGGGCTCTTTTTTTTTTTTT